AACAACACGTTCTCTGACGAGCTTGGTGGACAAAGCGGCGCATCCCATTGTTGTCCAGCCAGATTTTCAACTAGACCACTCGGGTGAAGGAAGCCTCTCCATGGCCAGTTCAGGCCCCAACACTAACGGCTCCCAGTTTTTCATCACCACCACAAAGACTCGCCATTTGGACGGCAAGCACGTCGTGTTCGGCAAGGTCATCGGGGGCACTATGACCGTGGTGAGAAAGATCGAGGCGGTCGGGTCCGACGGCGGCGAGACTTCGAAGAAGGTGGTGATCGAGAGCTGTGGGGAGCTCGCGCTCGCGGATTGGCCGCGAGCGGCGCCCCTTCGGTGGCGCCAGAACCTCCACGCCCCCATCGCGTCTATCAGCGTGCGCCTCCCCCGTTACTCATCCACCTCCTCCTCCACCTGTTTTGCTCCTGCTCCTTTTCCTCCCTGCCCAGCAGCTGAGCATGTCGCAGCGTTGGTAGCTGTAGCATACGCGCCGCTAGTAACAGAAATCGAGGCAGACTATAAGGGAGCGGTCGGCTTGCACTCCCAGCCTCGAGACACCCTCCCGCATAGGAAGTCGCTTTACGCAGGCATTAAAATGCGTACAGTTGGACTCTCTGCTAATGGTGTTTCCTGGTTTAAGGTGGCTGTGTACACTTCGCAAGGTCACCTGACTCCCATCCTGGTCCTGATGGGGGGCCCTCGAGAGGGCGCGCCCCTGCACGTATGACGAACGTAAAGCACTGCAGCGCACGGAAAAGCAAAGCCATGCAATTGCAGCGCAATGCCCTTGATCTGACGCGGCGCATGGGGTCAGTTTAAGCTAGGCGCAAGTGACGCTAGTTCATTGCAGCAGCAATGTTGGAGAGCAACTGACGTCAGAATATGTCGTGGCGCATGGGGGAAGTTGATGTCATACACTATCGTGGTAGTGGCGCTGTCTACTGCAGCGAAAGATACGTGATGTTGATGCGCCTTGTGCTGTGCATCTCGCGGCATAGCATAGCATAGCATAGCATACCAATGCGTTACATCGCACAACATGCCTGGATCGAGACGGCCCGGAGACCTCGTGGCAGGCCTCTTGGAGGCGTCCTGGGGCGTCATGGGGCCCTTTTGAACACCTAGGGAAAACCAATGATTTGTGCCTTCTCGCTTTTTCGCTTCCGATGGCCATCCGAGGCCTCAAGATGGCTCCAAGAGGGCCCAAGAGAGCCCCAAGACGACCCCAAGAGCGCCCAAGAGCGCTCCAAGAGCACCCCGCGAGGGGTCCAGGAGGCGATTCTGGAGGTTCCCGAAGGGGGGCGCGAATTAGGGAACCCCTCTTCTTTGATCGATCTCCTCCAAGATGGCCCCAAGAGGCGCCCAGGAGGCCCCAAGAAGCCTCCAAGAGACCCCCAAAATGCCCCCAAGAGGTCCCCAAGAGGCCCCAAGAGGCTCCCCCGAGGCACCCAAGACGGTCCAAGAAGCCCCCGGGACCGCCAAGAGCCCCCAAGACGCCCCAAGAGACCTCGAAGAGGCTCCCAAAAGCCATACCAAGAGACTCGGCGAGGCATTCAGAAGGCCTTTGACTCTTCTGATCGCCCTTATCTTCCTCCTTCTCCTCCTCCCCCTCATCATCACCATCATCATCACCATCACCACCACCATCACCATCACCATCACCATCATCAAGACCACCACCATCATCGTCATCATCAGCATCATCAGTATCAGCATCGACATCATCATCCGCCTATTCCTCCTCCTCTTCATTCCTCCCCCCCCCCTCATCCTCCTCCTCCTCTTCCGCCTCCGACTCTTCCTTCATCCCCCCCTGGGTACGAAGGCCTCCCCAGCAATTTGTTCCTCTGTATGCTGCCCCGCTTCCTTGATCACGTCTACTCGCCTGGGCGTCGTTTCTGGAAGGGCTGGTGGGGATACGCGAAGCGTCAAGAATTCCCCAAACACCGCTTGCACTTGGGGTCTCATACTTTTCTTCTCAGGAACTCGGCCTACTGCAAGGCAGGGTAGTAATATTGATGCGCCTTGCGCTGCATCGCGCGGCATAGCAAAGCATTATAATGCGTTGTATCGCACAGCGTGGCGTTTTAGCATAATGCGTAGCATGATGTAATACATTGTGTCGCAGATTTGCTTGTTCTCGCACGGGTGAAGCGCCATATTGCGCAGCATGGCATCATTTTCGCCTCCTCCCTCCGCAGCGGCTTACGCGCCCCGCCGCAAGTGGCGATCTCGCGGCGGGACGCCCGCGGCCCTCCCCCCTATAAGCGCGCGGCGACCGCTCGGGGGGGGCGCGGGCTCCCTTCCTTCGATCTTCCAACTTCTACCAGAGACCAATTGTGACGTCCGCGGCCCTCCCCCCTTCATCCCCGCCCCCTCACATATCTCTCTCACCTCGTCGCCCCTCCCTCCTCGTCCCCTCCTCCTGGCTACTCCCTCCCACCCCAGCTGCCATTTTGCCCTCCTGCCTTCCTCTCTCCGTGTTTCCTTTCCTCTACCTCCTCTTCCTCCGTCTCTTCCTCCTTCTCATTCTTTGGGGAGGGCCGGTCATGTCTGAATTGGCCCTACTCTCTGGCCCTAGCCCTCTTCTCGGCCACCGCCCCCGGCACGGCTGCGCGGAAGCGCAGGGCGCAGGCGACGCGGGCACAGGGGCAGAAAGCATCGCGCCCTGGCGCCCCCTGATGGTGACCAGGGAAATGCCGTGCGCTAGGGATAGTTTTTACCAGCGGGCGATGTGGGCCCCGTCTGGGGGAACCGTCTAGGCTCCAGTAGGGTTCCATGGGGATCCATGGGGGTCTTACCATCTGGGGGGGGACCCCTGTGGGGGTCACCCTTTTTGCCAAGCGTAGTTTAACAGAAAAGGTCTTACGACGAAGCCTCAGATTCTCAGTGGTCCCGCAAAGACCCTGCAAAGCAACGCGGGGGTTCTGTTGAGCGTTCGTTCCATGCACATGTGCATCTTTGCCACACAGCAATGTATGAGATATTGTGTACTTCTTTCACTCGCAGTGCTCCCATGCCGTTGCCATAATCATTCGGGTCCTGACGAACCCTACCTTCCTATTCATTTAATGTTTTCGCGAGACATTGGGGCTCCCAAATGTCGTTGGTCTAATCGGGGCCAGGGGGAGGTCCGGACTCAGTAGTCTCATAGGAGTCCTCTGATCGTCGTCGTAACGCTCGTCGGCGTAACGCCCGTCGGCGTAACGCAGTGCTCCAAAGCGGCTTCCGCGCGGCCCGCCAAAGTCGCTGAATCCTATGGCTTTCGCGCAGGAAATGGGTGAACAGACTTCGCCCCGCAGAGCCTGACGCAAGACGAATATGTTCACCCATTTTGGCTGGAAAAAATGATTTTCGGCAACCTCCACGGTCGTAGTTCGTGCCTTTTGGAGGCCTCTTGGGCCGACCTGGGCGCCTCTGCAGGAGGCCTCTGGGGCCGACTTGATCGTCGTCGTCGTGACGCTCGTCGACGTAACGCTCGTCGACATCGTCGTCGTGACGCTCGTCGACGTTGTCGTCGTTTCGGTCCTCGTCGTCGCAACGCTCGTCAGACAATGACGTGCGACGACGGGCGACGACGACAACGGCCGCGACGGCCACGACGACGACCACGACCACGACGACCACGACCACGACGACCACGACGATGCAGCAGGACAACTTGAAAGCTTGGGCCCAACCTCTGGGGCCATCTTTGCCCCCTCTTTGAACCTTATTTGGCAAGGTGGGTCGATGTGTGATCGGATGGGTCTGCCCCTTGGGGGGGTCCCCGCTTTTTTTTTGCAACGCCCCCCTTTGAAGTTACTATCGGGACTTAGCCTATGTCGCGTTGCCCCTCTGGTGGGGTGTCAACCTTGTCGAAAAGCATAGTGTCCCCCTGGAAGTGGGAGAAGGGAGGAGGGAGCGAAGATTATGTCATGAAGACAACTGACTCCCCGCTCCCACCCGGAGGCATGGCAGATGACGCCGCCCCCGCCAGTGGAGATGGATCGGCGCTGGAACGGCCCTCGGCCGTGGCCGCGGCGGAGACGGCCGCGGCTGCGATGAGCTCCGAAAAGGATTCTGCGGATAGGATCCTCTTCGGCAGCCCCGTGGACGACGCGGAGGCGGCGCGGGCCGCGGCCGAGAGCGAGGCGAAGCCCAAGGCGAAGCCCGAGGCGAAGCCCAAGGGGAAGCCCAAGGCGAAGGCCAAGGCGACACCTTGTGTATGTCTGAGGGGCCAACACTAGCTCGAAGCCAGAAACGCACCACATTCGACGCCCGCAATCGCCGAACACACTCGCGCCCACACTCCACGTCGACACTCGCGCTCTATATTCGCCTGTCACACTCGCGCCCACACTCTACGCCCGCAATCTACGCACACTCTCGCACCCCACGCTGCACGCCCACATTCGAACCCCACACTCACACCCCTCACTCTACGCCCGCACCCGCCCCCCCCCCCCCCCCCCCACACACACACACACACACACACACACACACGCACGCACGCACACACACACACACGCACACACGCACACACGCACGCACGCACGCACGCACGCACGCACACACACACACACACGCACACACACACACACGCACACTCTCTTTGCCCACAGTCTACGCACACACTCGCACCACACACTCACACCCCACACCAATCCCCGAGTTGATTTACCGACTTGATTCGACTTACTGCGCCGAGTTGGCCAGCGTCTCGCGTTCGTGTCGTGCGGGCGCAAAGCGTGGGGGGTGAGTGCGGGCGCGAGTGCGGGGTGCGAGTATGAAGTGCGAGTGCGGGCGCACAGTGCGGGGGGCAATTGCGGAGGCGAGCACAGGGTGCGAGTGCGAAGTGCGAGTATGCAGTGCGAGTTTGGGCGCCGAGTCTGAGGAGCGGCCGTGCGCCCCGAAATGGCTGCTAGCTAGAGAGGCGCGATCGCTGCCCCACAGACATACACAAGCGACTCCCAAGGTGAAACCTGGCGCCAAGGCTCGGGCGAAAACTGGCCCCGCGGCTCCTGCGGCGTCGCACTTCCCAAGTTCACACATCACCTGCCCTGTGGACACCTGCCCATTGCCGCCGCGCGGGTTCTCCTCCCGGGCCGCTGCTGCCAAGCACATGCGCGAACACCACCCCGAAGTGCGGTGGCGCTGGCGCAACGGACCAGGGGACTTCATGGAGGTCTTGCCGGAAGCCCCACATGAGGACATCGAGATCGGCTCGTCCAACCGCGAGAAGGCAGTGGCGGCAGAATCAGAGAATTGATGGGTTCGATTTGTGCCGGGGATCTGTTCCCCAAACAACCGAACGACATGTTATTTTTCGGAAGGGGGCGCTTTGGGGGCCTTCTTGGGGTCTCTCTGGGCCAATCTTAAGGCCTTCTTGGGGCCTTCTTGGAGCCCTCCTGGGGCCCTTATTGACCTTTCTTGGCGCCCAAATTAGTCCTAGAAGGGCCAACTTTCGAGAGCTGCAGGGGGGCCCAGCAGAGTGACGTCCTATGAGGGCTCAGATTGGAACTCGCCATCCCTGGGGGGGGGCTGCGATCTGCGAAATTGTCCCCGGCTTGTTGGCTATCGTGAGGCTACCCCAAGATATCCCAAGCAGGGAAAAACACCGAAACCAAGACTTAAGAAAACCGAAATCGAGATTTCGGTTTTCTTCTAAACCCCAATGAAAAACGTCGAAATCTCGATATCGGTTTCAGACACCGAAATCGAGATTTCGGTGTTTCTGATTGGGGATCTCCTCCTCCTCCTCCTCCTCCTCCTCCTCCTCTGTTCCTTCTTCCTTTCCTTTCTTCTTCCTTCTTTCCTCTCCGTTTTCTTCTCTCCTCTCCGTTTTCTTCTTTCCTCTCCGTTTCCTTGGGACCTCTTGGGGCGGTCTTGGAGCTTGGGACCGTCTTGGGGCGGTCTTGGAGCTTCTTAGGGGCCCTTTTGGGCCGCTCTTGGGCGCCTCGTGGGCGCTCTTGGGGCCATTTTGGGGCCCTCTTGGGCCGTATAGGCCAGGCCGCCGCTTGGACCGTCTTGACGGCCCTCTCGGGCCGTCTTGGAGCCGTCTTGGGAGCCTCTTGGGCTGTCTTGGGGCGGTCTCGCGTGCCTTTTTGGGCTGTATTGGAGTTTCGGGAAGCCGAAAAGGCGGGAACGCCAAAATCATTGAAAAAACGTAAAGGAAATCAATGATGTTGGCTTCGTGGGGCCCTCTGACGACGCCTCTCGGGGCTCTCTTGGAGCGTCTTGGGGGCCTCCTGGTCCGTCTTAGCTTCTCGGGGGCGCCCTTGGGAGTTTCCGCGGCCACTTGGAGCCGTCTTGGGGCGGTCTTGGAGCCGGGTAGGGCCCTGTTGGGCCGCTCTTGGGCGCCTCTTGGGCGATCTTGGGGCCGTCTTGGAGCCGTCTTGGGAGCGCGCTTGGGTGCCTTGGGAGCGGTTTTGGGGCAATTTTGGAGGGGATCGGTCAAAGAAGACGACAGCATGTATTTAGCCCCCCAGGGCCACGATCCCTGTGAGGGGCGTGAAAACATTGCTTCCCAGGGACCCACCCCCCGTCCAGGCCCAGTGGGAGGGGGTAGGGGGGGAAGAAGGGGATGAACAGAGCGGGCTCCCTAAACCACTCGCGCCCAGAGGGCTGGTGGGATTCGGCGCGAGACCCCAACCAGAGCTTAGGCCGACGAGCACCGACATCGCGATTTTGGTGCGAAGCCCCAACCAGAGCTGAGGCCGTCGAACATCAAAATCGAGATTTCGGCGTGGAGCCTCAGCCAGAGCCCAGGCCGACGGACGCCGAAATCGAGATTTCGATGTGAACCCCCCACCGGATCGGAAGAGAGGAGGGGGGGGGGAGAGTCGAGGCCGGCAAACGCCGAAATCGAGATTTCGATGTTTCCTAAATCTTGGTTTCGAACTCTTCCCCCAAGCAGGTTGGGATTGGGCCCAATTTGCTTTTCGCACTGCTTGGGATTGGTCCCAGTTGGTTGGGATTGGGCCCAGTTGGATGGGATTCGGCGCACATGCGGGTGCCCCTCCCGTGGGCCTGCTCCCTTGCTCCCTTGCTCCCTTAGCAGCTAAGGGAGCAGCCCTGCTCCCTTGCTCCCTTGCTCCCTTAGCTAAAGGCGCAGCCCTGCTCCCTTGCTCCCTTGCTCCCTTAGCTAAGGGAGCAGCCCTGCTCCCTTGCTCCCTTGCTCCCTTAGCTAAGGGAGCAGCCCTGCTCCCTTGCTCCCTTGCTCCCTTAGCCGCTAAGAGAGCAGCCCTGCTCCCTTGCTCCCTTGCTCCCTTAGCTAAGGGAGCAGCCCTGAAATCGCGGAGAGACCGGTACACCCAAAATGAGGATGTCAATCTTATGTTGTTCCGGCTTGCCGCCTCCCGCATGCACGAACATGGACAAATCGAACACATAAAGTGGTTGGCCTTTCTTCCTCTCCTCCTCCTCCGCCCCCCCCCCAACGTGGTGACGTCAGCCCGGCCAGCCACTTTATGTGTTCGATTTGTCCATGTTCGTGCATGCGGGAGGCGGCAAGCCGGAACAACATAAGATTGACATCCTCATTTTGGGTGTACCGGCCTATCCGCGATTTCAGGCGTGTAGTCTCTTGGACATCGTGTGCTCCCCTCACGGCCTGCGGGCTGATCCCATCCCTTGCTCTAGTGCGGTGCGTTGTTGGAAGGGGAAAAAAAGATGAGGCCATTACCACCTACCACAAATATCGCACCACCGCTTACACCACCTATCCCACTCAAGTCATACTGCGCCACACGGAGAGCACCACCGGCCCCAGACTGAACAGCAAAAGATTGACATGTGGGACGGCGGCTGTGCGTGTCAATCTTATGTTGTTCCCTCCAGGGCCGCGAGGACGAGAGGAGGGGAAGGGCGGGCGAATGCGGCCGCCCTGGGAGTGGGCCGAGGCCGACCGAGGAGGCCGAGGAGGAAGAGGACGAGCACGACGACGAAGAGGGGGAAGCGACACGTGCGGCCAGCCACAAAAAAAAGAACCCCAGAGGGAACAACATAAGATTGACATGCGCAGCCGCCGCTGGGCATGTCAATCTTATGTTGTTCCCTCTTGTGCATTTTGTTTTGGGTGGCTGGCCGCGGATGTTGATTCCCCCCTTTCTCGTCCCCGTCGCCCCCCTTTCTCGTCCCCGTCGTCCTCCGCCTCGGTCGTCCGTCCCTCCCCCCCGAGAGCGGCCGGGTTCGTCCGCCATCTTACTCATCGCATCTTCGCGGCCCTAGACTGAACAGCATAAGATTGACATGCGGAGCGGCGGCTGCGCGTGTCAATCTTATGTTGTTCCCCCCAGGGCCGCGAGGACGGGAGGAGGGGAAGGGCGGGCGAATGCGGCCGCCCCGGGGGTGGGTCGAGGCCGACCGAGGAGGCCGAGGAGGAAGAGGACGAGCACGACGACGAAGAGGGGGAAGCGACACGTGCGGCCAGCCACAAAAAAAAGAACCCCAGAGGGAACAACATAAGATTGACATGGGCAGCCGCCGCTGCGCATGTCAATCTTATGTTGTTCCCTCTTGTGCATTTTGTTTTGGGTGGCTGGCCGCGGATGTCTGTTCCCCCCGTCCCCCAGTGGCCGTCGTCGCCGTCGCCGTGGTCGTCGTCTTCGCCGTCGTCGTCGCCGTCGCCGTCGCCGTCATCGTTGTCCTCGTCGTGATGGTCGTCGTCGTCGTCGTCGCCCTCGTCCTTTTCTGCCTCCGTGGTGGCGCAGTATGACTTGAGTGGGATAGGTGGTGTAAGCGGTGGTGCGATATTTGTGGTAGGTGGTAATGGCCTTATCTTTTTTTCCCCTTCCAACAACGCAACGCACTAGAGCAAGGGATGGGATCAGCCCGCAGGCCGTGAGGGGAGCACACGATGTCCAAGAGACTACACGCCTGAAATCGCGGATAGGCCGGTACACCCAAAATGAGGATGTCAATCTTATGTTGTTCCGGCTTGCCGCCTCCCGCATGCACGACCATGGACAAATCGAACACATAAAGTGGCTGGCCGGGCTGACGTCACCACGTTGGGGGGGGAGGCGGAGGAGGAGGAGAGGAAAAAAGGCCAACCACTTTATGTGTTCGATTTGTCCATGTTCGTGCATGCGGGAGGCGGCAAGCCGGAACAACATAAGATTGACATCCTCATTTTGGGTGTACCGGTCTTTCCGCGATTTCAGGGCTGCTCCCTTAGCTAAGGGAGCAAGGGAGCAAGGGAGCAGGGCTGCTCCCTTAGCTAAGGGAGCAAGGGAGCAAGGGAGCAGGGCTACTCCCTTAGCGGCTAAGGGAGCAAGGGAGCAAGGGAGCAGGGCTGCTCCCTTAGCTAAGGGAGCAAGGGAGCAAGGGAGCAGGGCTGCTCCCTAGGGAGCAAGGGAGCAGGCCAAAAATTAAAAGGACCCGGATTCTCCCTACAATGGAACTTTTCATGCGGGGAACTCCGTTCGCATAAGTTGTGTTACTATGCACGAGGCGGGGAGTGGAAGAGGTGGAGGAGGAACGCGGGGGTGGAGGAGGAAGACGACGACGTCGATGACAACGACGATGGGGTGGCGGAGGATTTGGAGGAGGGGTGGAGGAGTGTGCAGAGGCAGTGATGGGCAGGCTGAGAACATGTTCGGCGACTTCGGCTCCGCGGACGAACCGGAGAGCCTCTCGCCCGGCATGGCCGCGGTGGCCGAGGCGTGTGACGCGGCGAGCGCAGAGGTGGCTGCCCATGAACCCCATGCGCCGCAGCCAGGGCAGCCTGCCCCGGCGCGATCGACGCGGGGCACCTCCCTGGAGGAGGCCGCGGCGCAGCGCCCCAAGAGCCGCGTGGGCGGCCGCCGCATGCCCGAGGCCGTCGTCGGAAAGCGGAAAGCCCGCGAGGCGGAGGGCTCCCACCGCGGGGGGCGCAAGACGCGCGCGGGCGGCCCCCCGCGGGATGACGACGATGACGAGCCAGCAGTGCGCCCCCTCTGCCGCATGGGGTGCGGGCGGTTCGCCAACGCGCCTCTGTACGCTACGTGCTGCGGTCTTTGCCAGGGCCGCAGCCCGCACATGCACGCGCCGTCCTGCGGGGGCAGGCAATCGGTCGCTCCAGCCATGGAGTACAACCCCGAGATGCCGAACTACGCAGACGTGCGGTACACGCGGGGCCGCAGCCCGGACCAGGATGGTCGCGGGAGGCGCCGGCCCGCGCCGCACCTGGGGAAGGGGCGGTGGACGTCGAGCCAGTGGATCTGGACGGCGCCCGCGGTCGAGCTCGGCGCGCGCATGATCGAGTGGGGGTTCTTGCGCGACTGCCGAGGCGACCCCTGCCCGAGCTGCAACAAGGGCATCCTGCAGGTCCGAGAGCGGGAGGA